TCAGAAAAAATGGTGACATGATAGAAAAGATATGTAGCTCAGGTGGATGATTTTGATGTGGTTGTGTTCTCTGAGCTGGCTGGATGGTTCATTTGCGAAGCTTTCATCACCTCACCGGGTAACATCTTGAGTGCATACTTCAATTTGAATTGAAGTGAGCTTTTAGATTTCTCCACGAGTTTATTCATCATCACTCCTGGTGACCAACTTGAATGTGATTCGTTGTCTTTGTGTGCTTTCACACCTTCTAGGCTGTTTGTATTGGAACTGATTGTTTCTTTGACTTTGATAGGATCCCACATATTTTGGTACTGACTGTTTAAACTTGCATAGATGGTATGTTATCATTCTCACGCATTTTGGTATTGACTGCTAATTTTGTATATTATCATTCTCACGCATTTTGGTAGTGACTGCTAATTTTGTATATTATCATTCCCACACATTTTGTTACTGACTGTCAATGTCGCACATATAGCATATTCTCATTTCTCACACACTTTGTTATTGGCTATTAAGGTCAATTATTTCAAATGCTGTTAGCTGTGCATATTGTTGTAAAATGTATAAATACCATGGCTTTCTTTATCGTTGTTGCACCTCAATACACAGTCACAGTCCAGCCTTTGTCTTTTGATATTTGCGTGCTTTACCAAGTCGGAAGGTACGACGAGCAGATAGACAGATTATTTCAGGCGCAGACAGAATAAGGTGAAAACATCATCATTCAATTCTCTACAGATAACAAATTGGCGACGGGGTTTACTTAATTCATCACAGTTTTTATTCTGTTCAGCGCAACTATATAACATATAAGTTCAGGCGCAGACAGAGCAAGATATAACAAATTGGCGAACGGGGATTTACTTTAATTCATCGCAGTTATAGCACGCAACGACGACAGTTTTTATTCTGTTCAGCGCAGCTATATAACATTTTTGACTGTGTTAATTACAACCCAATTATAATGTCTATCTCTCTGGACGATCTTCCGGTGACTGCAGTTGAGGTTGCCAGACACACACTGCGTGATCCAGTTTTACAGCAAGTATCAAAGTTCATCCGATTTGGCTGGCCTCCACATGTTCATTCAAATGTTTTAAAACAGTTTTACCAGCGACGCCAATCCCTATCCATCGTTTATGGATGCATAATGTTTGCTGATCGTGTTGTCGTTCCAGCTAATCTTCGTGACCATGTGCTTCGGCAGCTTCATATATCACATCCTGGTGTTGGGAGAATGAAGGCGATCGCTCGCAGTTATGTTTACTGGCCCAACATCGATGACCATATCGAAGACCTCGTTCGCAAGTGTAGTAAATGTGCTCAAGCATCAAAGTGCCCACGCAAGACAGAACTATGTTCCTGGCCACGACCGGACAAACCATGGTCCCGCGTTCATGTTGACTTCGCTGGACCGTTCAATAGTATGCATTTCTTAATATGTGTCGACGCGTTTTCCAAATGGCCAGAGATATTTCCTATGCATTCTGCCACATCAATTGCATCAGTGTCCCTCCTACGTCAACTATTACTGAACGTTTCGTCGACACCTTTAAGCGTGCTTATGCAAAAGCGAAGGGGCAGGGAACAACAGAAAAAAATTTTGGATAAATTCTTGCTACATTATCGTACGAATGAAAAAGGACAGTTATGTGGCAGACACACAGATCACGCTCTATCCAGTACCACGCAAAGGTCAACTCGACAAAGAAGAGCTCCGAAACCTTTGCAAATAGATCCAAAAAGCAAGTCCTACACTCTTTACGGGGGGAGGTGATAGGATCCCACATATTTTGGTACTGACTGTTTAAACTTGCATAGATGGTATGTTATCATTCTCACGCATTTTGGTATTGACTGCTAATTTTGTATATTATCATTCTCACGCATTTTGGTAGTGACTGCTAATTTTGTATATTATCATTCCCACACATTTTGTTACTGACTGTCAATGTCGCACATATAGCATATTCTCATTTCTCACACACTTTGTTATTGGCTATTAAGGTCAATTATTTCAAATGCTGTTAGCTGTGCATATTGTTGTAAAATGTATAAATACCATGGCTTTCTTTATCGTTGTTGCACCTCAATACACAGTCACAGTCCAGCCTTTGTCTTTTGATATTTGCGTGCTTTACCAAGTCGGAAGGTACGACGAGCAGATAGACAGATTATTTCAGGCGCAGACAGAATAAGGTGAAAACATCATCATTCAATTCTCTACAGATATAACAAATTGGCGACGGGGTTTACTTAATTCATCACAGTTTTTATTCTGTTCAGCGCAACTATATAACATATAAGTTCAGGCGCAGACAGAGCAAGATATAACAAATTGGCGAACGGGGATTTACTTTAATTCATCGCAGTTATAGCACGCAACGACGACAGTTTTTATTCTGTTCAGCGCAGCTATATAACATTTTTGACTGTGTTAATTACAACCCAATTATAATGTCTATCTCTCTGGACGATCTTCCGGTGACTGCAGTTGAGGTTGCCAGACACACACTGCGTGATCCAGTTTTACAGCAAGTATCAAAGTTCATCCGATTTGGCTGGCCTCCACATGTTCATTCAAATGTTTTAAAACAGTTTTACCAGCGACGCCAATCCCTATCCATCGTTTATGGATGCATAATGTTTGCTGATCGTGTTGTCGTTCCAGCTAATCTTCGTGACCATGTGCTTCGGCAGCTTCATATATCACATCCTGGTGTTGGGAGAATGAAGGCGATCGCTCGCAGTTATGTTTACTGGCCCAACATCGATGACCATATCGAAGACCTCGTTCGCAAGTGTAGTAAATGTGCTCAAGCATCAAAGTGCCCACGCAAGACAGAACTATGTTCCTGGCCACGACCGGACAAACCATGGTCCCGCGTTCATGTTGACTTCGCTGGACCGTTCAATAGTATGCATTTCTTAATATGTGTCGACGCGTTTTCCAAATGGCCAGAGATATTTCCTATGCATTCTGCCACATCAATTGCATCAGTGTCCCTCCTACGTCAACTATTACTGAACGTTTCGTCGACACCTTTAAGCGTGCTTATGCAAAAGCGAAGGGGCAGGGAACAACAGAAAAAAATTTTGGATAAATTCTTGCTACATTATCGTACGAATGAAAAAGGACAGTTATGTGGCAGACACACAGATCACGCTCTATCCAGTACCACGCAAAGGTCAACTCGACAAAGAAGAGCTCCGAAACCTTTGCAAATAGATCCAAAAAGCAAGTCCTACACTCTTTACGGGGGGAGGTGATAGGATCCCACATATTTTGGTACTGACTGTTTAAACTTGCATAGATGGTATGTTATCATTCTCACGCATTTTGGTATTGACTGCTAATTTTGTATATTATCATTCTCACGCATTTTGGTAGTGACTGCTAATTTTGTATATTATCATTCCCACACATTTTGTTACTGACTGTCAATGTCGCACATATAGCATATTCTCATTTCTCACACACTTTGTTATTGGCTATTAAGGTCAATTATTTCAAATGCTGTTAGCTGTGCATATTGTTGTAAAATGTATAAATACCATGGCTTTCTTTATCGTTGTTGCACCTCAATACACAGTCACAGTCCAGCCTTTGTCTTTTGATATTTGCGTGCTTTACCAAGTCGGAAGGTACGACGAGCAGATAGACAGATTATTTCAGGCGCAGACAGAATAAGGTGAAAACATCATCATTCAATCTCCCCACAGTTATAACAGTCTTGAACTTTGACCCTTTGTGTGTGTATGTGTGAGGTTTCTTTCTTATCGGTTGATAAATATTGTCTATCTCTATGTGTCTATTGATTGATGATTCACTGGAATACCAGGCAGGATTCTAAAAATTCTCTAGCGTTCCTCTGTCTCATATTTGAACGCTGACGGTCCCAGTCGAATTGATGTCCGTGGTTGTCTGTATGGAGTGATATGAGTGAGGGAGTGGATATCATGTGTTTTGACGGCTAGCTTATGTTCGTGGATACGAAGACGAAGGGGACGTTCACTCTGGTCAATGTAGTGTTTTTCCCAGTTGCTACAATTTATTTTGTAGATGATGTTGGTTTTATCTTCGTTCGCTGTTGAGTCTTTTGGTTGACATAGAATTGAGTGAAGCGACTTTGTTGGTTTGTGTGCGACGTCAATTCCTAAAGGTTTGAAGAGTCTTGTAGTGATTTATGAGGTATCCCTTATATATGGTAAGGCGATCTTCTTTGTACTTTCCTTTGGGGGCTTTTGGTTTGATAGGTCGGCTTGGGGGTATATGTCTTTTGATGAAATTCCGTGGAAGCTTGGCATTCCAGTGAATCATCAATCAATAGACACATAGAGATAGACAATATTTATCAACCGATAAGAAAGAAACCTCACACATACACACACAAAGGGTCAAAGTTCAAGTCAAAGAAACAATCAGTTCCAATACAAACAGCCTAGAAGGTGTGAAAGCACACAAAGACAACGAATCACATTCAAGTTGGTCACCAGGAGTGATGATGAATAAACTCGTGGAGAAATCTAAAAGCTCACTTCAATTCAAATTGAAGTATGCACTCAAGATGTTACCCGGTGAGGTGATGAAAGCTTCGCAAATGAACCATCCAGCCAGCTCAGAGAACACAACCACATCAACTCAGTGTGATTAATCGAATTAGTAATTATCGAAAAATACAAAACAAAATGCTACTTTTTTTGTTATTTATTGCACAGGAAGCCAGTCCCTTAATTTATTAGCATTTAAAAAGATGGTTTCGAGTTCCAATTGGAACATTATCACTTAACGGGGGACACAGTTGCATCTAATTGGAGGACTTTACAACAGAACGAAGCGCGCCTTCTAGAATTCACTATATGCCACCATCAATCAGATAATATTTAACTAACCATAAGCCATAGATTATTTAAAAAATCTTCACTAGGGACCTACATGGTATCACTACAATAACAATCAATAACTGGGCAAAAATCATATGAATTGATTACTTTACCTGGTAGGCATACAGATCCGCATAGGATTGGATCACAAACACATCGTTGTGGTGGACCATATGTTACCCAACAATCGATATGTTGACTGCATGTCTTATTTGGACAATTCACTGATTCTGGTTGACTAGAATGCTTGATATCACATCGACTAAATCCATCAGTTGAAGAGATTACAATAATTAAAAAAAGAAGAAAATAACAATAGTGAGTAATTAACATTCTGATAGGAAATGTTTCCCTCAACATCATTTATCGGTGAAAAATGTTTCCTTTTTTAATTATTTCCTTTTATTTAATTATCTTTCAACATATATTTATTTATTTATTTATTTTCAATAAAAATAAAGATCAAATTGTCATGAACAACTTGAAAACATTGAATTACTTACACAGCTTTAAATGACACACCTCAAGGTCATTGTAGTTTGTTTCTTATTGGCTGGTAGATAAACACCAATCAGAATGAAAACTTTATCTGTCAGTGTAAACAAATTTTCTCGCATCGAGGAAGCAAACTGAAGGTTTCATTAGTGGCGATTCATTAACATTCTGATTTTTTGTTAAATGTTAGTTCTGTCATCATTTTTTTGGGGGGGGGGTTCCTTGTTTTACTCAGTTAATGATTAAAAATAACACTCGAGTGATTTCTATTTTACCATAATTATCATCTAATTGGAGAACAAGAAGACCCAACCAAATTTTCTAGTTAAGCGGTTAACACTGTTACCAAATTAACCCTAAGGAAATCTTGCCTTGATAGCATTCATTATTTGAAGGCTTTTTTTGTACTGTTGTCTTACCCTGAAGCAGTTTTGGCTCAAAATTATTTTTCCTCACTGTTCGTTTCAATGAACAATTTTCACTTGTTGAGTGACTTTGTGAGAACTCGATAATACATACTTCTTCTTCTTTCAACCTCTTTCACGGTAGATTTAGCTACAAGTTGACATCTGTTAGAAGGTTTTATAACCCCCCTCCACCAAAAAAGAATCAGAATTTAACCCAACATCTGTTTTATCATTAGTTTCGATATTGAGTTGAGTACAAGGGAAAAAAACAAATTTCAACTTGATGAAATTGTTTAACTTAAAAATGCTTCAATGAATTATTGACCACAATGTATTGATTGATTAAGCTAAGCTAATCAACCGTTATGTTTCACATGATCTAACAACAACAGACAACAATCAGCCAGCATAAATGGGAGGAACCTGAAAGAAACAACCTCCTTCACCTACCTATCTACCCAGGAAGCATCGTTCCAACTACAGGCTGACGGAACTGACGAGGATATCGAAGAAGCCAGAATCGGAAAAGCAAGACAAGCTTTCATTACTCTCAAGTCTGTGTGGAGGTCAACACTCAGCATCAAAAATAAGATCTGGATTTTCAACTTCAATGTCAAGTCAGTCAGTGCTACTATATGGATCACAGACTAGGTGCGTCATGAAGAGCATCTCAAACAAAGTATAGACCTTCATCAACAGCTAGCTGTCTTCGCTCAATACTCAAGTTTACATGGCCGGCCAGTAAAGATCAGCATCAGGGATCTCTGGGGGCGAACCAACAAGGAAGCGATTGTTCAACAAATAAACACGAAGAAATGGAGGTGTATTGGCCATACGCTGAGGAAACCATCAAGTGACATCACTAGATAAGCCATCACTCGATTGGAACTCGAAAGGGAAGCAGCGAGTTGGTTGTCAGTGTGAGGGTGACCTGGAGGAGGTCATGTGAAGAGGAGATGAAAACATGTGTGCAGACTTGAAGCGAGGTAAAAAGTTGGCGGAAAACAGAAGGCAATGGAGACGCGCAGCTGAAGCCCTATGTTCCTCTAGGAATTAAAGGATATAATAATAATAATATATATTTCTAAAGTTAAAGTTTCTATAGCAGTCTGATATGTAGACGAACAGAAGGTGTAGCAATGGGATCACCAATATCCTCTATCGTAGCAGACATATTTATGGACAGTTGGGGAAAATAGTGCCCTCAATACATTTAACCCTACCCCAAAAATATGGTGGAGATATGTGGATGACACTTTCACGGTGTTAAAAACAGAATACATCTCTCGCTTCTTGACACATATAAACTCACAAGTTGAGGGAATCAAATTCACATTTGAATCAGAAAATGAACAAGGAGAATTACCTATGTTAGACTGTAAGATAAAACGAATAGAAGAAGGCAAACTACACACTCGTGTTTATAGAAAACCAACGCATTCTAATAGATATTTAGACTTTAATTCGTCTCATCCTTTAACTGTTAAGGCAGGCTTAGTTAAATGTTTAACAAACCGAGCAGTGGCACTAAGCAGCACAAAAAAAAACCTAAATGATGAATTAAAACAGATAGAAGAAGCGTTGGTGTTGAGTAAATATCCTACAAAATTCATTAAGATCATTAAAGGCCAAAAACAAAATAAAAATAATTATGAAATTAGTGATAATAACATAATTAAGAGAGAATATAAGTCATCTACAGTTATACCATATAAAGAGGGGACATCTGAGACACTACGTAGGATTCTGAATAAAGTAGGAATTAGGGTGGCATTTTAACCTACAAACTCACTCAGGCAGGACTAGCTTTGTAGGTTAAAGGACTCAGTTGACCCAATTAGACAAAATAATATTATTTACAAAATACCATGCAATGACAGTGAGGTTAACTACATAGGTCAAACTGGTAGGTCGGGGGTAGTAGTCAGATTGTCAGAACATAAGAATTTAGTGGCTAAGGTAAGAATAGTTGACCCCGATAAGATAAGTAATTTAGAAAAAAGCTCAGCCTCTGCAATACACGCATTAACACACAACCACACAACGGAATGGTGGGAGAGGGTTAAAATTCTAAAAAGTAATCTAGATAGGTGGAGAGAGAGGTTGATTACTGAAGCCTGTCTGTTCATCGAGTCTACACCCAACACATGCAATAGGAATGACTCATCACTCATGCCTGATATATGGAAATTACTATTACCAATGAAATCAAGTGAGAAACAATGGAACTATATAAATGAATTTAGGAAGTCGTGTGATTACCTTGATATGATTATGAGCAGTAATCAATTGTGCTCGAAACGTCATCAGTAAACATTACTGTATAACACTTTGAGACTTTATCAAAACAAAAATTTACCCATAATGGAATTATACTCTACCACAGTGCACAAGTTTTATCCTTATATCAATGATGGCATTCTCACCTATGCTGGTAAGGTGAATGGTGAATGGGAGTGATCGGAAATTGGATCACTTACGAATGACCAGTTTAAATGCCTGATCTTTGTCTGCAGTCTCAAATTTTCAGTTGACAGTGATATTCGTACCCGAATCCTTGCAGAGATTGAACGCAAACCGGACATAACTTTACAGGAGGTAACTGCTGAGTGCCAGCATGACACGAAGTTGATTGAGGACGGTCAAGTTCATGAATTTACTTCTGTTCAGGCTGTCAAGTCAAGCAATTCTCTGCAAGTCAAACACAAGCATCCCAAAAATTGTTGCTTTTGTGGATCGTGACATTTTGGTAAATTTTGCCCGTATAAAAGACATAAATGCAGTATCTGTAACAAGTATGGTCACAAGGAAGGATTTTGTCCCCCAGTGAAGCCTAGATCAATTCTATCTCACAATACGATGGCACAGTCACGAAATTTTCGATCTCGGTCGACGAAACCTCAAACCAGCAGCATGTTCGCTACCTTCAAAGTTGACTTCGAGTGAATAAAAAAGTTTGCCACACTTTCTATCAACCAGAAGCCAGTTCGACTATAGTTAGATACTGCTTCTGATATCACAATCATATCTCTCCAGATGTGGCGGGCACTCGGGTGTCCACCTTTTCAGAGAACGGAGCATACTGCAAGAAACGCATCGGGTGACGTAATGAAATTATCTGACCAGATTGAATGCGATGTAACTTTCCGGTCGACCTCGTTCCAAGGAACATGCTACATCACCAATCGTCATGATTTGAACTTGCTTGGTATTGACTGGATCGAAAAGATGAAATTCTGGGATGTCCCACTGAACTCAGTTTGCTCCAATGTACAGTGCTCAGATAGTCCTACCAACATGTTGATGCATCCGAACTCTACCGCAAAGTTCATCAGTCATCTTCGCACCAAACACGCTGCCGTTTTTCAAGAGTCTTTGGGTTGCTGTGCCGTACAAAAAGCCAGACTATACCTCAAACCTGATGCCAAACCAGTTTTTAGACCAAAATGCCCTGTACCGTTTGCCGCAATATCGTCCCTTGATGCAGAGCTGGATTGTTTAGAAAAGTTGAACGTAATCAAGCCAGTCGATTACTCCTCTTCATTTATCGAACCACAACCAATCCATCATGCTCAAATCAAACATCTCCCTCAGAAGTTATGTTTGGAAGAAGATTACGTACTACTTTGGATACAATTATCCCGATCCCATCACGACGGAGCAAATGTGGTCCAAATAGTGAATTTTTGTTCAATAGACGTCATGGCACCAAGCAAAGAAGTTTCATGGTTGGTCAGTGTTATGTTGCTGCTGCTGAGTGGTTAATAGTAGTTTTCCCCGTCGCCAAATTATTGCTATGTACTGGTCGAGAATTTAATAGTCCTGACGCAAGAAAGACGTAAAGAAATAAAACCAACCACTTGAAGTATTCAGTTATTATGTCCTTAAGTTCGAAAACGCTCAAGCGCCTATTTTAAAAATCTTTCAACCAAATGTCGTGCATTTCTCGAAGCAGACAAAGACGAAATATCATAAGCGATTTGTTTTTGCCAATACATTCCTACAGGAGGTCAATCGCGAGCCCGAATAGCTCAGTCGTAACGTCTCTGACTGCAGCACTCACTGGTTGACGCGGGTTCGAATCTCAGAAGCGACATGAGTTTCCCCAAGGTTCCAGATACGCCTTGCTGATGAGTGCCAACTAGCACAAAATTTAGGTCAAAGGCTTCCTTCCGATTGCCTCCAGCCATCTAGACTGTATTATGTTATGCGATCTACTATCAATTACTATTTTGCTTGAAGATCCTGGACAAAATGAAACTATCATGCCATCATTTCAGCTGAATATTTTGTATGTTATATAAACACTTTCCACAATAAAGCTATTATTATCATTTTCTTTATTCCTTCACGCTCCCAGTGGAACATAGGGCTTCAAACTGGAGGCTTGAAGTTTCTGTAGCAGTGGTGATTATTTTTACAGGATGGGGTTGCTAGCCTCATGCCCAACCTTCCCTCTTC